TTTCATTTTCTTTCTTTCTCTCTCTCTCTCGGTTCATAGCACTGAAATACAGATCGAACCAGCAGTTCTGAACAAATTTTATGCAACATATGAATTCCATCTGAAGCAAAGGTCGATGTTCTTCGAAGCTCAAAACACCACCATCACTGCGAGTGACATTAAGGACTAATTGCGAAAGTGAGTACGACTACATACCGATATCATATGGGTTGGTGATTAATAATGTTAATCTAAATATTAAGATTTCTATGCTAGCAGATGCTATAAGGAGGTATCCTAGACATTCATATTCCTACCATGGAACACCAACAGCCGGTACTACTACCAAAGCATACTGAGTGAAGTAGCGTTAATTGCATCGTACCCGTTAAATGAATAGGTTATGGAAGAGGAAGAAGATGAAGCGCTAAAAGAATAGCTGCGACTGAGTTGAGGTACAGTATTTCATCCATCTCAAACTGAACTCCTAAAAGCACTATGGCCGAACATGTGAAACAGGCCCTGGTTAAAAATAGTAAAATAGCTGTAATTTAAAGTTTGATTTTTAAGCAACCTCCTCAAATAGGAATTTCAATTTAACTTCAAACAACTTCGAACACGGCCCCAGGGCCGCAATATTGACCGATATATAAACAATAGCCAGATATCGGAGAGAAAAATCACCAACATCATACTTTGCAGGGATCCTGTCGAACGACTGTGTCTGAAAAAGCACAATAACAGTCGACAACGCTGTGAAGGCCAGTTCTTCTGTTAAGTTCTAAAAGTGAACAAAATCATTATTCGCCCATTCATAAAGTGCACAGTGAAACATAGCATAAAGGCATCGCTAGAACCCTAGCCAGCAGATGACTCAAAATGAGTGCAGAACGAGACTGGCATAAAAACAGTGGCGGTTCTAGATTAATTAAATAAAAAAGCTAAAGAGGAGCTGTATGGAAAGGACTAGTACAAACAAGAGAAATTTAATACAACGCTTATTGTTTCTTAGATATATATATAAGCGAGTAGCCGCATGGGATAGTCCGAAAGCATTGAATACCACCAGTATTTACATCCCATAAAACATTATGCAGTCAACTTATGCGTGTCAAAAATAATGGGATGTAATCCAAACAACAAGGCTAAAATCCCATCTAGTGAGTGCGGTCCGTTATATCAGAGAAACCGGCAATACCACAGAACAGGCAGAGAGAACACCTCAGTAACCTGACAAAATCGTGCAACGTTTATCTATCTTAGAAGGGACGAGCACAGAAATAGTTAGGGAGAAGACCAATAAAAGTCAGTAGGTAAAGAAGAAAGAATGCGAAAGAAATTTTCCGTGCGGTGGAACAAGTAGACTCTGCATTTTATGGGACCAAATGGGACCAAATAAAAGGAATACACCAATAGAGAAACTTCCTAAGGCGGATAATAAGGAAAGCCCTGGTAAATCAATTGAATCTATGTAGTATTAGTATGCTGATATGGAACTCGACTATTAATATAATGAAATTATGAAGCAGCTTCCATTATCGAGGCTAACGCAGCAGCGATTTATACTATAATATTCTGCGATATATATTGTGCCTCTTCCTGCAGCCGATCAATCATCGCTGAGAGATTATTAGTTAGATATCTGCGCATCACTGGACGAAGGTTGCGAGAAACCAAATAAACAAAGCAAGTATCTAGCAGAGCTAAATCACCATGACCCTTGTCACTACTACTAACATCGCCAAATATGAGACTGAGATTCAATGCTACGGATGACAAAAAGAACGACAATAATAAAAATGACCATCTGTAGTCGTGATGATGATTACTAGTTCTAACACCAACCAAGGAAAGTACCGTTAGAATTTTGTCCGTCAGGATTTCACACGTCGTGGGAAGCAGACTGTATTTAATAGCTAGCTCTGAGGTAACCATCAAAGAACACATAGCGAAATCAGTGTTGCCAGACCTGAAAATATTCATTCAGCCGTTTAACCAAAAAAATCATCTTCATGCTTTTACCTCAATCCCCGGACGACGAAAGCCATTATTTTTGCGACCATAGCGTCACTGATGTCATCGCAAGCGTCGAGATACCCACAGAGTATCGATGTGCAGAAGCTGAAAACGACCTGCAAAGACCTGTGCTGTTTCTGTTCGATAGCCTTAAAAACAAGATTCTTATCGAAGCAGTGCAACACGGTAAGAAAGATACGATCAACACCTAAGATATTAGGAAAAAATTGAGATTCTTGAAATTCTCAGCACCTCGGAACCCTTGCCAGGATATGTACCCTTGGATCGTCGCCGCAATCCGTATGAGAAGCACAAAAGGAACTTGGAGCCATTTATTTTAAACCTTCATTTCATGTCTGATTTTGGCAAAAGCATGGACTCATGCCCATGCTTCAGTATGTATTCACCAGTGAGTTATTCCGAATCGCCAGCACGGCCTCGACTGACCCTTCCTCGACTCGAAATGGTTTTCGCTCTGAACTGATCAGGTCTTAGACAATGACTCAATGAGGCATAGTTCCGTCAGAGATTCAGCCCGGCCAAGTCTACTCTTCTTCGTAAGATTGTCCCCGCACTACGTTAGTCAATAACTATTTACAGTCTGTCCTTTTCGTCTTTAAAACGTACTTCAAAACATTCGGGGATGAGCTCGGTCACAATGCTCAGGAAGTTTGCGTTGTTCTTGCATTGCTTCAATAATTCGGCACGGTCAAGCGGTGCATTGGACTTCTGATACGGCAGAAGCCAGTACCAAGCAGGGTCCGTATTTTTGATTTGCAAAATCTGCAACATCCGTAAAAATATATTCATGTCGTAATAGGAGATGATGCACCGCAACATTATGTCGACGTTGTACTGATGTATGTGAAACCTAAAAATGAAAGGTGAAAAAATACCTAAGCGCAAACGAGCAACTGTCAGAGAATGTAATATAAATACATCGATTATAATTAGCTAATCAAAGAACAACCTGCGGTTCGGAATTAGACTCACGTGTCAAACATGGACAATGTCTCCTAGAAGCATTCTGGGGTTATTTCGAACGTTCGCGGAAGAGAGAGAGCTCGAATTAGTTTTTTTAACTTTGACTTAAAGACGGCGTATATCTCAGAGACGGCTTGCACTCCTACATCTTGTTAGGTTAGGTACGTTTCACGTAAATTGTAGTGAAAGCAATAAAGATAAAAGTTCCCCCTAAAGAAAACTTTCCCAAAAGAATACTGGGTATTTTCGGGACATTATGAGTACACCATCGGATTTAATATAACATCGCTGCACTTTGGAACAGTGCCCTTCACGGTAAGGAAGACATTTAGACACACAGAGTGATTTTGTGTTTACGAACTCCATTTAAGCACGTATGTACAATTTATGCTATAGAAAT